ATAAAATGTTCGTTTTGAGGACTGTGTGCTGCAGTGCGCCGGTAATATGGTATTACGTTATTATTATTATAACATACGAATGCGCATGTAAATCACTGCTGCAGAATAAAGAACGCAACGATTCGTGTGGTTCGATAAGGCCACCGAACACACGCGTCGTGATAAAATTAACCGCATCCTTTTTTTTTCGCGATCCATTATAATGTAGGGATAGTGTGGCGCCTATGGCGATAATAATATAACAACAGTATATCCATATGTATATAATATATAATAATAAAATATTATAATATGTAGTCCCTACTCCCCACCCCATCGATGCAAAATATATTACAAATCCAAAAAAATAATTGGGCAGTATAAGCTAGAAATTGTACACATTTTGAAATGTCCTAACTTTTTTTTTCGACTGGGTGTTTTGGCTAAGTGTATTGAACATTTACCATACGTGGTTAACCGTCAACGTGGTACATAGAATCAGTACTGCACAGTGCACACGTTAGCTAAAGGTCATAATGTGTAAGTATTGCGGCGACGAGTCTTCACGAGTCACGACTTAGGTCAAAAATAAATTGATCTAGAGTCCGGGCTCTAGTAAGAAATGGATTAAAAATGTGTAAACATAATATTTTTACTAACGAAAAAACGTTGTTTAAAAATACCGATTGCTGTAACGATAATAATATAATAATTACCTATATTGATAATATCGTCTGTAGTGTCTATTTTCAACACGCTCTATAATAGTCTGTACAAAATATTAATTTAAAAGTAAGATCGTGTATAATTTTATCTCTATAAATTGTATATGAAATAAAAGCAAGATCAATTAAATATAATGAAATTAGTGATAAAAAACTTCTCGGTTTGAATTTAAATATCGATTTTGACTTTTGAGTAAAAAACTATGAAATAAAATAACATGAATATTTTAGGCAATATCTCGTTTTATCTGTTACACTCTTACAGTATAAAATTAGTTTCATTTTTTAATTTCCAGACACCCTTTCTAAATACGCTACCACAGTAAATACTGAAATATTATATAGTATGTACATTGTATTCACATAGAAATAATGATACAGGATAGTGGACAACAATAATTTAATGTTAGATAGATAATAATAATATTATGTAGATCGTCGATGGTTGATCCGGGGGGTGCGGCTTACAATGTCAAGATAATATATTATAACATTCTAGTTATGAGTTTATTACACATGTATATAGGTACTGAATATATATTATATAATAATGTTATGCGTTATTACGACGTCGGCGGTGATGATGATGATGATGACTATAATAATAATAATAATAATAATAATAATAATAACGTAATATTAAAATAATATTATATCGTCTTACAGGGAAAACGCGCTCGGATAATATAGCGACCTCGGTTGCCCGTCCAAAACGGGGAAGACCGGAATGCTGCAGCTTCTGCACGGGGTAGAGACTCGCGCGGCCTCGGATCGCGTCGCGTCCGATTAATTAAAAACGCTTTCGATCGCACGACCGAAAAAAAAAACAAAATATTATATTATTATAATAATAATAATATAGTATAACACATTATTGCGCACGCAGACCTCGTCGGCATTTGTTTTGACACGTCGTCTCATTACGGCTAAACTATCATAATATTATACGCTCGCGATGCGTTTAATAACATACTCATCATGTCCGTAAGTGTATGTGTGTGCATATGAGGAAGACGTGCTCCGTAACCGCCGCCGGGTAATTATTATTTAAACGACAGTGTATATTATATTTTATTGTAATTTTATTTATCTATAATATTATCGTTTCGTGTGTCTACCTACTGTCTACATCACTGGTACATCGACGAAGGCGCAAATTATATTATGTACCTATATAATAATATAATATACATCAGGCGACTAGCTTTTCCCCGAGCGTTGTTTTAATTATTATTAATTATTCTGATTAACGCATAATAATAATAACAATATGAGCGATTTATAATATGTAATTTTTTATTATGTATTATTAGCTAATGCATATATTTATTTGAACGTATACTACCCACTTGTTAATATAAAAATAAAAACAATTTTCGACAAAAATAATATTCAAACGACGATGAGAATAATAATATTGACTAATAGAGTGTTTTAATCTGAAACTTGTCGAAATATTAGAACTACGGCAACCGTAACTATTTGAGACTTTTACAAAGTCGTATAAACTTTTTTAAAACGAGTTAAAATATTGATACAATAGTATAAAAGTAATATAAAACATTATTACGATTCAAAAATACTCGTAAAGTCATAACTCACTTCAAAACTGAATGTCAGGAAAAAACAACGATAGAAATCAAATAAAATATCCCAACAACTCAAAACTAACAACCAAAAAAAATTGAGGTAAATTCACCTCAATAATGAAACAAAGAAAACTTTTTAATATGTGTTCTACTGAACAAAAATTGTTCATGTCATGTACTTTTAGGATGGATATATCAAATAGGCTTAAAGAGGTCTCCCCCTTCTTGAGTGGATCGCTGTCTCCAGTTATGTACGGTCCAATCTATAGGAATAATATTATCTAGGACGGGTCCTATTTTCAACGAACTACGATCGATCGAAGGATTCTGGAAACAAAATATCTGAATTCGTAATAAAATCCACATTATATTGAGATCTCCTTTCCTGTGTTTTCGATTTTATCCACGCTAGAGCGCCATTAAAATTGGATGAATTCTCGATTATTGTGTTGTATGAATAGAAATATATTGTTATCCCAGCACCGTTTGAAATATTTATATATACGTATATAGTATACATAAATATATATATATATAAAATATTGCACGTACCTATGCGATTATTATTAATAACAATACTAATCACGCGTGCAATAATTTATTATAGACAGAGGCGGCAAATCTCCGCTTTCGATCCCCCTAAGTATACGATTACTATGATAGTGGTGCGCATACCTCTATATATATACGCATACCTCCATATTATACAACCGTGACCGAAACTGTGTCAAGTCCACAACCTCGTCACGTGCACCAATCCCATACGTGTAAAAATCACGTAGTACGCCCGTGGTAAAGGTATACTTATTGCAGGGCGCCCTGCACGAAATCCGCCCGCGAGATCACTCATTGTCGTGTCGCAGCTGTATAGTAATGTCGGAAAATGTTCGTTTACACAATAAGGTCATTAAACTATTGGTGTTATTGAAAAATATGTAATTTCACGTTTGATACTCGCTGATCGAGAGTTAATCGATTTTTTCACGGATTATACCCTATAAAATGTTGATCTCCACGATTGTTGTTGTTGAAAGGTTCAAACGTAGATCTCCGTTGTTGGGCACATTGTATGCTCCTATGTATACCGTAAGTACGTAGTAGGATATCTTACACGTGTACCTATGTGACAATGTCATATTATCATAATATTAAAGACTAAAGTATAGACTATACGAGCTGTTATTATTTTAATGTGGAAGACGCAGGTGCGTAATTATATTAGTTCAGTTGTCCTATTTATGTGATGTCCACGATATTTCCAATATATTTCAAAAAAAATACAGCATCCGGAGCTTACGCGCATATACAATATAATACCTGTTTGTAATTACAAGCAAAACAGAGCTTTTGTAAAAAAAAAATAACTCTAAAATAAATTAGTATTTTCAAAATAAGTATAAAATTAGTACTTTTTTTGGTTCGCCTGATGAGTAATTATCTTTTTAATTATTTCGGCTACAAAACGATCAATAACATAATATAGTAAATTATTTTTTGAGCAGTTATGATTCTTGATATAATAGAGATTAACTCGATTAAGATTTACTTCTAATATGAAGAGTATGCACTTTAGGTTGGCCGAGGTAAAGTGGTTTTTGTATAAGGCTCTTAGGTATGTTATATATTATGAAGAGTGGTATCACATATTATAATATATAAATTTAAACTCAATTATTCATACAATACCGAGAATTATTTTAAGGATGTTGTAGATACTTCAAAAAAAAAGTAAAACAATTACACCGAATTTAATAATTAATAATATAGTACTTACATAGTTGCACTCCTTTAAAACCAGTGCCATACTCTAATATTAAAGTGTTAGACCTACAGATACTATGATAGTTTGTATCGCTACACTTTAAAATACAACATTATTAAGTTAATCCAAGCATATTATATAGAATAAGACGTCTGACGTATAACATAATATTATAATGTATCATGAAAAATAAACATAATATTGATATTATACATCATTATATTAAGATATAGATAGATAGATATGTGTTATAACATATTTTTTCGAATCTCAAACATAAATTATTGCCTACTTCAGGACATGTACTCGTATATATTTATATTATACAACGACAAATCGTACCTATACTATCAACACGCATATTGTATATTATTCAATGTTATATTTTTTATTTTTTACTATTCGATTTTTACTTTCTTTCAAAATACATAAAATATCAATAGCTCGTTTTGACTTCAATAATTCACCTGTAGATAACGAGTGTGTCGTGAATTTTTTTTGCTTTTCCGGGATACCAGTACTTAACGTTCATCGTGAAATACGTGTCTTTTTTTGTTTATTTGGGTTTAAAGTATAATTCCCAACACTGTATACAGCAGACTAAAGTATATCTTTTACACGCTTAATCAATTTACGATTATCACAATATAATATTATATAATTAGTTTAAGAGAAGTCAACACCGTACCAAGATAATTAAATTCAAAAAAGTCGTAAAGCTTTAATATTATAAGATGTATTTCATAGTGTTGGGATAACGTCAGCCTCGAGAACAAACACGAAATAATAGTAATAATGACTGTCGTTTGCTCGTTTACATTCGTTAAGCGTTTTTAAGATGTTTTACATAAACACACCCTATGTACATTGCATGTCGTACAATATAGGTACCTGCAATTTGCTATAAGTGCGCATTATAATAATAATATTTTCGCATCGACTTACCGGATTTCTCCGTGAGCAGAGTGACGTCATGTGCAACGACTTGCGCCCACTGCATAACGGCTAGCGTGAATCGTATGTCAGGCACGTTCCTCTCCGGGAACAGCGTCGTACGGATCAGCCTAGCACTGGGAAGTACCCGTCCGAATGAGGTCAATCTCGGTCTGCTCTCACCTAAACCAAACACACAACGGTTGTAGAAATTATTATTGTAATTACCCATATATAATATATATATATAATATATGGATGCATACGCCCGAATTGTGTTTACATCGTTCATTGCAAGGGGGCGAGTTTTATAAGGTAGTTATTAGTTTCGACTGCAGAACCCGTAATGTGGACTGGGTAATAAAAGGCACGCGTCCAATACACGTATTATTATAAATTATAGGTAGTCGATTATTTGTTATTACAGTCACCTGTAACTATGCAATTGAAATAATAAAATTCTGTATTCAATCCTAATAATATAATGTCAATTGTACAGTTGACGTGGAATAATGAACGTTTTAACGAATAACGATATAATAATACATGTGTCGACCGTATTATTTGTTATATTATACGTATTTATTAAACGCGTTTGTTTCCGGGCTTCCGGATATAATAAACAAAACCAAAAGTTTCGACTAAGGTCCGGCATATTTTGGACCTATGATACCGGTTTCGAAAAGAAAGTACAAATGTTTTTTTAAATTTATTATGAGCCTATATGTGAAAACACGAATGAATAGTCATCGGCGCCAAGTGCATTGGATTTCAGGATGTCCTGAGGCGATTATAAAGCAAAAACGAAACTAGTTTCGAAGTCACAATTTCTTCATTAAATTACGTCAAATTTACCCGACATAATAGTATTCCATAATTCGTTACGCTGGTCAAAAACCATAATATTTGGCTAATTAATAATTAATTGGTATGACTATAAATAACATAATAATATAGCATATATAACGTCGTTTCTAAAATTAATATAATAATTATAGACACGTTATCGTAATAATGATTACATTGTAATAGCTTCTAATTTAGTTTATGAATATTGGAATTCTGCGATAGAAAATATTGTAGAAAAGTATTATCGAGTTAATATGAGATTCACATACAAAATTCTAAAGTTGGGCGAAAATTGATACCCCAAAAGTCTGTACTTTTTGAATATTCTGTAGCAGCACGTAACGTATACCTACCTATATATTATAATAATAAATTCTATAAATTCTGGGTGTTCAAATAACCATTCGAATGAAGGAAGTAACCATGGTTACACGTCCATTCAACGAAGATCCTGACGTGACTTATAATAGGTACTTCCTACGTTGAAAAAGCCTCGAGAACTCGTTAATTACCGAGACGGTGAAATAGGTATGGAAGAAAAGCTTAAAGATTTTATAGTAAAATATATTATGTACGTATGAGCATAGCATAATATAATGTTATATACACCCGCGTAGTCTATATAATATGTAGGTAATACGCGTTCTATACATTTCACAACTTAATATCAGTTGTACGCGTCCTAAGTGTAAATCAAATAGGTAGGTAATCTATATTTCATTTCGGATTTGTAAAAACAGTAAATTTACTGGACATATATGATATCGCGAGTGTTGCTTTTGCGGCAACGTACAAAAAATTAAATTTTAGCGATCAAGAGGTTCACCTTGTTTCCATCGAACTAAACCGTACGACGACAATAATAAACAGTAATCGCTAAATAGACACCTTATATTGAAATACTCTTTTAAAGTAATTACAGCGCACTATTTACAGGTGTATCGATTTATATTTTTGATATAGTTACATATATATTTATATATAGGTAATTACATAAGTACATAACCTTGGAGAAACCGATTCGGTCTATAATTATTAAGTATACATAAAAATAAGAGCAGACCCGTTTCAGATCTATATAAATATTGTCTAAAACGTGTTTTATAATTAATAGGTACCTACATAATATTATTATAGTAGTTATGTCATCTAAATGTTCGAACGTACATCTATATTATTATGTATGCAGTACGCACCGTTACCGACTGGTAGCTTATACCACGAAAAGTTGTGAATTTTAAATTGGTTTGATTACCGTTTAATATATAATATGTAAGAAGTGAAACAAGAGTATTATAGTATAGAAAGTTAATTAAATAATACGGTTTTAAAGGTAAATATAAGAGCTGAAGAAAATAATGACTGTTGATACTAAATTTGAATCAATTTAAATCGAAAAAGAACATTTGGGTGTAGTCGAATGATGTTAAAAGCGTGATAGGTGGTTAAGTATTCAGTACAAGGAGTATAGGTGTACTATATCATGACTATACGCATAACAATTAATTATAACATAATATATTATTATTACCATTAAATTATTGTCATGTCGTATTATCAATATTATAGTTTGTGACGGGATGTACTATAAAAGCGCATTCACAGCTACGTCGTGTGTCGTGTCGTGAGAGGGCTTGGTTACTATATGGTTACGACTGGTAACCTATATGGTTTAAAAGTTGAGCAGTAGTCAATTATTAGTATACTCGATTGCACCTTGGTTATTACATGATACCAAAAAAATAATATCCAATCACAACACGATTTGATCGACACCACACGACACACGAAGCAGGCGTTTACTTACCGTCTTGGTAAGCGGCTGGTAACAGTCGGACCAACGCAGTGTTGACCGAGCCCCATCCGGGTTGCTGTAAGTTGTTGCAACTGCCGTCGAAGCTCCTGTACCGAGCTCGAGGGTTGCAAGGTATGCTGGTCAGGCAAACGTCCGCCACGTTTTGCTGGGCGACGCTCTGGGCGCCAGTGACCATCGTGCCACCGGCGGTGGCGGAGGCGGCTGGAGAGTCGGCTGAACCTGCGGAAAAAACGAAAATCATGACAAAACAGACGTACAGATAGGTCGTGCAAACACTGCAGTTGTGCAGCAGACACGGTAATGTCATAGCAGTTGTATTATTAGGTATTTGATTTTTTTTTTTTTCGTTTTTCGTTTCGTCTGAAACACTCTGTGCTCGGTGAAACGGCACCGTGCGTCGGATTAGGCACGAGGATGAACGGTATAATCAAAAGTCGATTAAACTGCAACAGTTTCACGATGAGTGACCTTGTGCCGAATCATATTATTTTATTATTTATCTATTTTTTTTTCTCCGACGTGTTGAGGTGGAAATTTTGACAGATACGCATTGTCTAATCCGAATACATTATTGACTGCCATTGCGAGTATTAACTGCGATTCGGCAATTATTGGAAATGAGACAAGTGCTGTGTCCGATTAAAATCCCCTATATTAATTCCTCACATTAATCCCTTCTCCCTTATAACCAGCTGTAAATATTACCATAAATCCCAAGATGTGTGCGAGTATCGATGCAGTCTGAGCGTATACATTTTACCGATGTAGTTTTTATTTTTACTCTCTTATTTTCTCAGGTATTACGAACAATATTATCGTGTTTAAGACTTGAATTACCTATCGAAACATTTCATTAAATATTATATCAGTAGCGGATTTGATTCAACTAGAAGTGATAGATAAATGTGTTTTATTGCTCTGTAGTGTATATCAAATAATTGAATTAAGCTTAATGTTATGGTACTAGGACACTAAGTAATAAGTAGTAATAAAAGGTTATATGTAATAGTTTCAAATACCACATAATAGTAATATACGAAGACTGGTCTAAAATGTTGGTACAAATCAAAGACAATTTAAAGGACGGATACTCGAGGATCTATACCACTTGAAAGTTTAAATTTGTAATTATATATCTGACCTTATGTTTATAAAAACTACTATTGTAAAATGTATTAATACTGAATTTAAATTGAAAATGAAGGAATTTGAATAAAATATTTATTGGTAAGATTATAAACATTATGAAATCCTTGAGATACCTTTCTTGTAACAGTAAATAATATTTTTTAGATTGAGATGAAATATATTTTTGTAATGGAAAAAACAATTACTGCTGAAAAATACTGTGCTTGTAGGTATAATCAATTTAATAACACATTAAGTGTAAATAGGTACGAATAAAACAATGGTAATATTATTATGTAAAATATAAGACATTAAGACAATTGCTAGTTTTTATTTTAGATTTAAAAAATAATAAGTGACCTAGGTATATTATACGAAAAAAAAACTTAACCTATACAGAGTTGTGCGTGCTTTTCAATAATTTATAATACTTTGGTTTTTTTTTTTAAAATTCAAGAAAATATTATTATATTTGTATTTAAATTAAATTGTGTACAGTACCTACATGTAAATTAACCGTGTAATAATAAGTTCATTTCATGTGACAATTAATATGTTAAATAGTCCGCTATCTAGCGGAAAGCCGAAGCAACCGTGATTGTAAAAGTACCTACCTATAAGAACTGTTTTTGTTTAAACATAAAATGTTTTAATAATACACCTAATTTAAAATATTTTCAAGAAACTCTGATTAATTGGAATAAACATTATTTTATGAATGCATTTAATTTGGAAATAATAAGCCAACACTTATGGTAATTAACTTTTAAGTTTTAACTAATAATCAACTATTTTTATACATACAATTATAAAATTTATTAACACTATGTCACTATATCAGTTGAAAATTTTCGTACAACATGCCTTTAAAATGTAAAGTTTAATATGTAAATATTTTATATGATTCAAACGCGTTTTTATACACTTTAGCTACGTCTAAATTATGACGGATTTTCGTGACAGTAATTTAGAATATCAGGTTTATTCAGTTAATTTGAACCACCTTAATGTTATTGATCAGTTAGGGAGGATACTTCAATGCCAGTCACTGGTAGAGATACATATTACATAGATGGAAAGCTACAAGACACTCTAGGAGGTTTTCCTGCACTGCCCGATAGATCTTCATCAGAAAAATCCAAAATCAAATCATCGCACTCGTTGTTTGAGTGAACAACTCGACGTATGGAGGGACACGGGTCTTATGTGATGTCTAGGGTAGTGGAGGGATGTCTAGAGTGGCGGACCAATGTCGGCCAGAGAAAAGGCGATCGGTCCCAACGGTCTTTCGATAAATTAAACAAGTGTATAATCTGTAACAGGTTATAGCGGGACCTCCTCATCTGTCGCCTACGGGTTCAACCAAGTGTTCACAAATTGTGCACCCTAATGGAGCCTTTATAGTCTATGCATACACATTACACACTATAGTACATGCTAAGAAAAGTAGTCTCGGGCTCTTTCAGGGTCATTTAACGTTGTACATATTATTAACTAACGATGCTACTTGGGGGGGGGGTCAAGCAATGTGCAAACAGTTAGGTCCCTTTGTAGTGGATATGCTATAAGGAAAAAAAAGGGGCTTCGGGTCTCGTGTGGATGTGATGTGTCCAACTTTTAGGTCCTCGAACTAGTAGTTTTCTTTCCAACCAGAATCGCAGTGTCGCTTTTAGGTAATACCTATTATAGGTATTAATATGTTGATGGGATTAAAAAATTATTTAAAACCCCCATCAGGACGAGTTGTTGAGAACCGTTTTCACGTTGTCCTTGACGAAGATCGTGAAATGGGGCACTCCGTCGCAATCGATGAGCGAAAAAACATATTTAGTGGGCTCCGACAATAAGTGATTTTTGTCGTGCGTGGCGCACCTTTGAACTGTTTGAAAACCTGATAACGATCACGCAAGTCACCATCGACGTTGTCGTATATTATAATAACGTGTGCGGAAAAACGGTTCAAGTGAAAGTCCTGCACGGTGGTGATGATGGTGGCGTAAAGGTCGTTTGGCGTGATAGAAGAAAGAGAAAAATACGTCGAAACAGCAGACCGAAAGGGACAAGCGAAAATAATACGTAGCTGGTACACGAATTCCGCGACGAGGTACATCATTTAATAACTGTTCCACAAGGACCTGCACGGTATGAAATACGAACTTAAATTATATTCAAGACCAGATTAAATATGCTGGGGGGGGGGGCACGGTCACGAGGTCCATTGATTTTGGGGCCCCATCTTTATCCAAAAAATATTATTTTTTTAATGCTTTCTAAACAGTTTTCAAAAGAATAAAATTATTTTAGTAGGTTTAATTTTATACAACGAAAAATAACTATTACTAAATGATAATAATTATTAAATTTATATTCTAATAATTGATAACAATATGATGATGAATGAAGTTTATAAAATGGGAGTTGTGATGTACATGTCTACGTTGTAGTCGCGTAGATGATAGTCTTTACTATCTATGTTATGATTGTACGTGGTCATAATATTATTGATATTAGGTATTTTTAATCTATTCATGGGAGGTACGTGAAAATTGCATAATATTAGCTTCCACATACACCCCGTATACCTCGTGTAATGTACGCCGCGATACGCTGTATGCGCGGCACCTGAAAAGTCGACGTCGTCGGCGTGCCAGCCGGTAAAAAACAAGCGAACTGTGAGACGAAAGAAACTCGGTGAGGTCATCTATTGTTCGAGACGCGGACACACGTGTGGCCTCGGGGTACCATCACCATCATCATCGCCGTCGTCCAAACACACAATACAATAGCATCCGGACATCGGAAAAACGTTTCCGATTCGTGAAATCGAAAGCGGACCGGTAGAAGAATAAAACATATTTTAATACGATATTCAATTAATTATTGTCGAGTTGATAAGTCTTGCGCAGTACGAACAATGACCGCCGCCGCCGCCGTTTCATCCCTTGCTCGTGCTCAGATCGTGCATGGAACCCTATAATATTTATTAGCGACCGACTTGATATCTGAATACAGGGTGCACTGGCCGTCCTTTTGTTACAGTTAGGATAATATATTATTGTTTTGATGGTATTATTTAATAATATTTTTTATGTCTCGCTACCCGACCGTCCTGCGTGCAATGCTGCAATGCTTGATCGGTGCGATATAGTGGAGGGGACTAACGACATTTGGAGCTTAAGTTTGTGGACGTATGCTAGATGGGTGGAGTGGTGGAGCGGTAGTGATGTAAGTGGTTTTATGCGGTTGTATTAATATGTTATAATATTATAGAGGGGAAAAAATCATCGTAATTTGTCAATAAATCAATAATTTGTATGATTCTATGATTCTGATTGCATTATAATAATATAAACGCAATTATGTTATCGAACCGTCGATCGTGTGGTATCTGTGAAGTGGTCACCGCAGCAGCCTTTCCGCGGTCGGTCGATGGAAGATAATATAATATTATAATAAATCGTTGTACGAGACGTGTCCGAAATAATAATTTATGTCCGTCTCCGGTGAAATTCGGCCGGGCGGATATCGTCGGCATATTATCGTCACGGCCTACACAAAGAGCTTTCGGCGGTCGTCGGTAGTCGAAATAAAGAATATAATTATTATGATTCCCCCCAGTAAATGCTCTGTATAATATAATATGAAAACTACGAGTATAATACCTATACCTACATAATAATAATATAGTGGCAGTACATAATGTTTTAGTTTCGATTCTCAATGAAAGTGATACTTTGCGATGAATTGAGGTTTCGAGATTTTCTTTTTCGTTGAACAAATTCAAAAATTACAAATAAAAGGTGTAAGTATAATAATAATATATTATTATAATTATAATATTATACTTAACATTCGTATTAAACGTTTACAATGATTCATAATAGCGCTTTATGCATTTATACATACGGTTCGTTTCGTATGATCGACTGAAATTCATTAATCACAACTGTTACAGTTACTTACTTAATAACCACTATAGTATTATAATAGAACAATATAGACTATAAATTATTACGTCGGAATGTTCAATAGTCATTGATATTTCTTTCGAATTTCTCTAATAAAAATTAATAAAAATTTCACTATTATTATTCCTCTTCATTGTAACTGTCACGAAAATTAATCGGCATTTTTGCAATTGCACTTAAGAGCATAATAACATCCGCACTAAATGCTTAGTGCACTTAAAAATATTATCATGTCAATAATAGGCAAAACTGAAGATAAGATGCATGCTCGCATTGAATAAAAAAAAATTGGGGAAGTTCCGAACTATAACTATTACAGAATGGCAATTTTAAATTATTGTAAAGTATAAAACGTATATGTAATATTATATAGGTATTTTATTCGCGTTAACGTACCTACGACCTACCACAAAATATTGATATAAAATGTTGTGTTAAAATGTTCAAAACTAAAATCATTAATACATTAATTCAATCTATGAATATGAAAAATATCATTTCTCATTCAACGAATAGCAGCTATATCTTCGACACGAAGGTCGGGTAATTAAATTTGTTTGGTTCGTTGCTTACGAGCTAGGAAGTATGAAAATATGATCATGTGTGTTAATATATCTCGAGTTAGATCACCGGATGAGTCTTTATGAAGAAAAAAACTACCAAAACGAAGGTTCTACATTAGAATTTACGTCGCTCATTTCATAATATTATAATACCTAGATAATATTCTAATTTACTTTCTCGATTTAAAATTTGTATAATGCATCCGTGCTCTAAACGATTAATAAATTACGGAAATAAATAACTACCTATAGAACATTTAGGACCACGATTTTTTTTTATTTTATAACTTTCGTATGTCCTCCAAATACCTATGCTTGAGGATCCATTAATGAACCAGTCGTGGGTATTTGAGTGTTTACATTATTCGATTCTATTCGAACGTACGCTAAATGCGTATACACAACGATTTGCATAATAATAATTAGTTGATTAGTCGCTTCAAAAATCGTCTGTATTATTTATCACCGTGCAGATAATTTACCTGCATAAATCTGAAATTTTCAATCCAATATAGCTGCAGGTATGTTAAGGTTATATTATTTAGTCTTATTATAATATTATACCTGTCTCAAAAATTAAGAGGTGCACCTATCATACTATGCGTTAGAGTTATGGTATTTCAATAATATTAGATGCTTCAGACACCACGATTCATACATCCTGAATTCCTGACAAATATACTATAAAACAAGATAATAATATACACGAAGGTACTTAGAATAATGACCTCAACTTCGTGATGACATTGATCATACAATAAATTTAATAACGCTGGTAGAAATCAATAATTGTCGATGGGGCTTCAAAGTGCGTATTCTAATGGAATTTTTTTGTAAAAATAATTTTTTAGTAATTGCCTGAAATTGTTTGTTATAATAAAACTGAACCCAAACAATATTTAAAAAAAAAAAATTATTATTAAATAATGTTTATCTTTGATAATATTTTATTCTGTATAAAATTTAAACTGTTTGTGTCAACTGCAATTAGATATAATATAATATATAATAATGTGTTACCCGAATGTCTCGTTTTATTGTTTGACACTCCTATATATGTTTGGATAGAAGAATCTTAAAAGTTACGTATTTCTCTGACGTTCAATTTAATTTTCTATTTAAGCTTTCCAACTTAAGTCAATGATGAATTTAAACCAACCGGCAGCTGGTCGTCTTTGGGCATTCTTATTCAAGTTATTAATCCTACTCTACATATTATTATAAATTATTTTATACATATTACTATGTATAGGTCCATAAAAAAAAAAACAGGTAAACACATGTGCACATCCTGTTTCTTATAGGATGCTATTATTCTTCTTTTTTTGTTTTAGCAAAGATGACTTATATAATACTATTAATCTACACTCGTATAGACGTATAGTACATTTCATAACTTTCAAAGATTAAATATTATAATAATTACGGTACAATGAGGTTCCGCGGTCGGAATAATCTTCGGACCGCAAACGAACAATAGGAACCCGGAACAATTGTTCAACCCGAATGGAAAAAATAAGCTACGAACGCCTAATAATAATATCACTCATCGTTTAATTGCGCCGTTCATATAATTAATACTATGGACTCGTTTTTATTTTTCTCAACTTACCGATCCTTGAATTCCATGGCAAAAAATCTATGAAACTCTGCCTCCTGGTCCGGCCGTTCGTGTCGGTCTGAAACAACAATAATAAAACAAAATCAATCGATATAAAATCTGAAGTGTACCTATGTTATTAATATCAATATTGGTACAGATGAAACGTATCTTATATTATAGAGATAATTTAATATGGATCACGGTCTGGTCGTGTGCGAGCGCTTTCGCTGTCCGTATCGATGGAAATGCAAATAAGGCGACGGCGGCATAATAATATTGTCATGACGTAATGCGTATAGCTGTATACGAGTTCTTCGCATTGACCACAACGACTTGGATAACCGCAACGTATAGTGACAACACGACCACGAGAGCTATTTTGGAACTTTGGGGTGGCTAAGGAGGGGGTACAGGTGAGCACACACGGAGCACCTATCGAGCAACCACATTGAAATTGAACCATCCAAAACTTTTAAAAACGGTTTTTTTTTTTACAAATTTTAATTCCTACTTCTCAACCACGTCACGTCATATGTGGTGACGTATTTCGATATAAATTCTCATAATATCATTAGCTCCTCTACAGTGAGTTGTATCTATTTCACTGCAGTGTAGAGCCACGACATCGAGAGTACCATCAACAGTTGGTTACTACGACACTGTGTATTAGGTATCGTGGAAACGTAGACGTAACTTTTTAGACAATATAGCCGATACAGGGCATTTTAGGTGAAGCAATAGGTGGATGAGTGGTGTTGTGGCTAAAACTAAAAAAATTACGATTTCCTGTCGTATGCGGAGTACAATTCATATTGAGTGGGCACATTATATTATTAGCTAGCAGGCGTATAGTTAAAAAGGAGAAAACGAAATTAGAATAGGATTAAACTATAATAATATTATAATGAAAGACAACACCATGTTATCGTCAAATTATTATATATTTATTTATTATGAGCAACTCAATAATATTATAATATGTTTACTGCGACCCATAGGTACGACTATTATACGAGAATAAAATATGACTGTAAAAACCAACGGTGTAGTATAACGGCATACGCCTGTACCTAAATAGTATTGTATTTTATAATCGAGAGAAATCGGTGGAGAAGTGCTAACGTTCGTATAAAGTTAAACCTTAAGTGTAAACCTCTTAGACTCGCTATAATATAGCGTCATAAATGTCATCATGTACGTTATACACTATTGTTGTGACCAACGACGTTTATTGTTTTATTCTCACTCTTATGTAATGCTGATGATGACCGTTTTGGACGTGATGTCTTACCGACGTGTCTTGCATATTATTTTTTATTAAACCCATTACCAAATATCGATAATAATAAAATTGATGATATGATATGATATTAATATTTTTTTTCCACGTTTCTCTAATAATTATTGTATATTTTGATTGTTCGTAGGTAATGAAATTCTTTAATCACATAAAATATTTTTTGATTCATGGTAATATTTTAAAACCAATACCATAATAATGGTACTCGATATATTATTTCGTATGTAACACACGTATTTGAAATTTATTGATGACTGTTTACTATTTTGTAATTTATTATGATTTAATGTGAAATTGTATACGGAAGAAAAACCACACGAGAAAAAGTTGAGTGCAAAGTATTATTAAATCGCCAGCCTGATACGAGTTCAAAATTTCTCTTACTGAAATTGGCATTTGCGAAGCACCAAATACGATTGGTCTAGAATATCAAATACCTATAAATTATGTGAACTTATTTTTAAATAATAAACATAAATCTAGTATCCCTATTAAATATCTTTTGATTGAATTAATTTTAATAAATTGTTTATATATATAATATTTAAAAATGTTCAGCAAAGTACGTTTATTCATATAAATAGTAAATACTGAAAGTTGTATAACTAATTGGAATATTAATTTTTATTTTTTTTATTAACTATAATTTGTATTGTCTAATACTCTAATACAATGGCCACAAGATCAACTCAAGGGTGTTCGTGACTAGAAGATTTTATTAAACGATTACTGTTTTCATAAACTGTGTACTAGATCAAAATTGAATTTAATAAATCGTGTGAAATAAATTATGCAGACAGGGCGATGAAACAATAATTGATGACTGTTTCAGATTATAATATGATATCGAATAGGACTATAATAATCGTGCATTATACGTTTTAATTTAGGTTACCAGCTATTCTTAACATCACAAGCAAAATATCTACAAATCTAATAAAAGTGTTGGAATACTATTATTGTTTTATCGTGCGTAGGTGCCAACGAGAATAAGAAATTTGGCGTCAGTTTGAAAATCCTAACACTTTTCCGGATATTTGAATCGTATACGAAACCTAGAGTAGATACGTCATGTACATGAACCGTTTTCATTCTCGTTCAATTTTTATTTTTAAACTATTTTACGACCACGTTATTACGTTTATCATCGGAGAAATCGCAATGGTAAATTTACGTTTTAAAATGTTAGTACTGCAATGCAAATTATCATATACATGCAATCCAATGAAATGTATATATATTATATACAACACACATGTACACTATCTATAAACGTATTAGTGTCGGAGCCACGTACCTGCAGCAGCAATACATACGTGATGTGCAGTTCACTACTGAATCCAATGCAGTAAAATAAAATGTTAAAGTAATTTTTTTTTTCTATCACGGAAACGATTTTATTTTTCAATGAAAGGTTACTACCTTATATATACATGAACACTATTATGACGAGTATATACCTGTTAAGTACCTGTTTTCGGGATAGTGCCGTTCGCCGTACGCGGTACATAATATAATGATCAATAATTATAACACGTGTCCGTGAAGTCGGCCCTCCCGAGTCATCAAGTCGATTCCAAATAGTGGCGAATATGTAGCGAAAAAGTCGCAAAATATTTGCACCGATTTGACAACTTGAGGATTTACGTGAAGTCCACACACTCCTCCAGATTAGGTAAGCTCGAATTGCAGAGAAAATATTATAAAACTTTGTTTGCATATAATATATATAAATGAAAGAAAGTGGAAAAATATTGGCACTAGGCTGGTGATCAACTCTATAATTTTTTTCAGAGGGAGGATGGGGGGGGGGGGGAATTTCATGTATTTAATTAATAACGATAGCAAAATTATATTATGATGAAATATATTTGAAATGTATATATTGTGTATTATATACATAATGTGAGTTCTTATATTATACATGTCGCTTGTGTAACTGCTGCAGGTAGCCACTATCCTGTTGGGCACAAGTACAGCTATATGCATAATATTATAATGAATAATATAATAATATGCTAAACTGCCATATACGCAGCCATAATAATAATAATAAAAATAAATAATAATACGGATTGACGATATCTAAAAACGGTCGACGGACTATACAACGCTCGCTCGTTATTACAATAATATGCAGCAATCACGTGCGTTTAATATTATAATATGTTCGCTTAATTATTGCCATTATAATAATTTGCACCGTTTTCATATTATCATATTATTATTATTTTTTTTTTATCACAGGTGAAACGTCGGAGTCAGATCGATCGCTTTCGCGGGGGAATCTCTGCTGCTGCGGTCGTCGGCGAGCCGCAATGTCAAGATCGCATATATATGCACACGCGTACATTACAATATGCCCACACACGCCCGTCGCATATTATTGTATGATGACAAAACGGTAGAAAGTCGATTTGCATATACGCCGCACGCGTTTCGCGTAGTAAATATCCGAGTCCGTTTTAATACTATATATAATATGACACTGCATCAGACAATGGACCGCCGCCGTGGCACGCGACTTTCCGAAACGCACCGCGCCCACTCCCCCGACGATAGTGTCGCTCTTGTCCGGGTCGGTGGTCGGCGAAAAAATATTATCTCAAACAGTATATTGATACCGTTAAATCTAAATCCACCGCGTGAAAATATAATGCCAATATCGATATAATATTATAGTATAATATCGTTATACGGTCGAAAGTACCTAGTCGAACTTAACCTGAAGTCGAAGCGATACCTTCTGGAAAGTTCGAGTTATATTCGAGAATCCGAATTATCCGAGTATAGGAAGTCCTATAGGGACCGGTGAAAAGTATTTGGGGTATCGACGACTTCGAGTTGACAAAGTTCGAGTGCACCCACATTTGACTCTAATAATAATGGGCGCTCACGAATTGCCTCCCATCTGACCCTTGAATTGCCTAACTGCATTTTTTTTTTTAAAGGTTACCCGAATTGCCTTCAGATTTCAAAAATATTATTCACTCGAATTGCCTCTTATTTTAGATAGTGACCCTCTTGTACTGGAATCGCCTGCGATAGCTTTAATTAATCTATTTATAAAAAAAACATATCAAATATCATTTAGATGAAATATCATTCTGTTATACAGTCAAAAACTTAAGTTTGTATAAAATAAATGTTTTAATAAATAGACTGATAATATAATAATATATGCGAGCATAGGGATGACTTATATTGGCGAGGGCTTATAATATAAGGGTAAAATATTGTACCCACTAAATTATTTTGATATTTCATGATCCAGCATAATATTATTATATATTATCACCATCATATTTTGTTAAAAATTTTTGCAAATGTCTTATAATTTTAACCATTTCTAACAGGGGCTATCCATAATATTATAGTTGTATAGCTGCTCGATGACACATTGCTATAAAAATGCCCAACATGTTGCCCAAAATTCCTCGAAAGAACTATTAAAGTTATTTCGAACAAACCCATCGTTTGACGTACTTATTTTGTTTTATTTTATTTTAATATATGTATTGCACCTACCTGTAAAAGTTTTACTATATTAATATCATGTATCTTTCATGTAATAGCTAGTTAAATATTCTAAATTATAAGAATTACAGTATGGTTTTACTTTTAGAAATTAAAAAACAAAAATATGAGTAGAAGTTTAAAGCTCTCACAATCACGTTCACGGACTTTGATTTAAAATGTAATAGTAAATCATAAAATATCGTGCAGGACTCGAGTTAATCCTTTTTTTTCATCTGGTCACATAATATTATTATAAT